GGGGCTTTTTAGAGATGATAGAACCTTTTTGTATACCCCCTTTTTCGGCAATTGATGTATGTAAATATTTATATATATAAATGATATCTTGCGCAATGATTACATAAATGACTATGTGGATGTGTTGCCTATGTATGTATGCATCCGGCCATTTTTTAGGGTCTATGTGAAAACAGCAACCGATGAAGACTTTTGTGTTGACGTCTATCTACCATGCAAGGTGGGAAAAGTTAACAACACCGCAACCGAGACGCCTATGTTAATGTGAGAAAGCCCGCAATCTTTTATTTTTCCAGCCAGAACATGCCATGGGTAAAAGGTATCGTCGCAATCGTTGAAAGCATGTGCACACACGCAGTAGCAGCAATGAGAGAAAAAGTTCACCTCCCAAAATCCACCTTCCTTACGCCCGTCCGGGGACCCGTCCGGAAGAACCCACACGCGCCGGACCCAAGCCCTGGCGCACCTCGTCCAGCATGCGGATGCCGATCGCCTCGTTGCCGTGCTTGCCGCGCTTGTACTTGACACCCTTGCGCTTGGCCTGGGACCCGGTGTTGTCGTCCCAGCCCGCGAGGAAGTCATCCATCACCGAGGTGAAGTTGTGGCGGGGGTTGACCGTCTGCCCGTTGGCATCGATCAGACTAGGGGCCTCGGAGATCGCCGACATGCCCGTCATGGCGGTCATGCCCGTCATGCCACTGACCATGGACATGCTGTCGTCGAACTCATCCTCCTCGTCCAGCGCGTACAGCTGCTCCACGCGATCGAACCGATCGTCCAGTAGCCGATGGCCCTCGGTACGCGCCAGGGCCGACGAAGTCATCGAGTACGCCGAGGGGTTCGTCAAGGCACCCTTGCGCTTCTTGCGACGGATCGGCGTCCCGCCGACCGTGAACACCGTCGACGCCAGCGTACTCTGCTGCTCGGAGGGCCCGACACTGGGGGCGGCGGCGGGCACGGCGGGCTTGGCAACGCCGGCCTTGACGTCCTTCTTGAACTTGGCGAACTCGCGCATCCAGCCCTGATCCTCAGGATGCATGTCCGGCGCCGGGGCGTCATGTTCCGGCATCATCTCCTCCGCATCATCCCCGCCTGCCGCAGCTGCTCTCTTCTCATACTGCGCCTTGGCGGCTGTCGTATCCGTCTGCACGGGCGCCTTCTCCGTCGCGTCCGACTCCCACCCCTCGTCGTCCTCCTCGTCGAAGTCATCGTACAGGGTATCCTCCCAGTCGCCCTGGTCCATCTCCTCCGCGCGCGTGGTCAACTGGCCGAACAGGTTGTCATCGTCCGCCTCGTCGACGTACTCCTCATCCTCCAGCGCCTCCAGGACCTCGCGTAGCCGCGGGTCCATGTTCGGCTGGAAGCCCGCGATCGCATCCGGCACGTTCTGCTGGTCCTGGTAGGTGGGCTTCCGCGAGTAGGCCGTCGCGGTCGACCGCATCTCACTGGGGGCGTAGCTGCCCCCGAACTCACTGCCCTGCCCGTCGTCCAGCGACACCTGCCGCAGCGCATCCTCCAGCTTCATCTTGCCCTTGCTCGAAGGGGCTTGGTTCTTTGCCTCGACGAAGTGCGCGTCCCCGGCGCCCGACCCCAGCTCTCGCAGGTGCTGCATGTAGTCATATTTGGTGTCATCGTAGAAGATGCCGTAGTTGGCCGCCTCGCCTTCGTTCTTGCGGACGGCGCCGCTGCCGAATTGCTGGGTCAGCGTGGCGAGGTTCTGGCCCCGGTGGGCGTCGGCTGTGCTGCTGCTGCTGCTGCTGCTGGTAGGGGCCGGGCCGGACACCGGCGCGAGCACGCGGTCGTCGGCGCTGGGGTCGTGGATGAGAGGGTCATGTTGGGAGCGGTGGAAGAGTTGGTAGGTGGTTGCGTTTTTCTTGTCGCTGGAGGATTGGTGGGTTAGTGCTTGAATTGACGAGACCCGGGAAAGTGTGAAAGACTTACATCCACTGCTTCCGGGGAGGCATTTTGGGCGGTAGGTCGTCCGAGGACAGGCGTTGGGAATTGGGATGAATGGAGAGAAATCGAGAGATGCAGCTTTGGGCGTTTGGGCGAAAATTCAAGAAATTCGTGGGGGAGATAAAGTCACGTGGGGCTGCTTATCGAGGACCCGGTGGGTTGCGCGATGCGACGGCGTCGATACAAACACACGTTATATCCCACAGGAGAAGTACTGTCCTGAGGAGTTTATGTAGACTTAATCTTCCGATTCGACTCTCAATTTTCTTTCTCCAGCATCAGAATTTCACTCTTGCTGCCGATGCTGCAGAGACACCAAAAGATAAAAAAAAAAAAAAGGAGGGGAAAAACAGCCGCTGAGTCAGCCTTATCTTATCCGCGCGGGGCAAATCTGATTGGGCCAAAACCCGCAAGTGGGATTAATTCTTCTTCAGTTCTTCTTTTCTCTTCGCCTTTACAAATCAATCAACCATTCCCTCCTCAACTACAACTACTCTTTTTTTCTCTCCTTCCCCTATTTCTCCTCCTTTCCTGCATATCTCTCTACCTCTTCCTTTCCCCCCTATCTCCTCTGAACTGCTCCGCAGTCACCCACCGCCACCATGGTGTTGGCCAAATCCAAGAACGCCGTGGGGCTGGGCAACAGCCTCATGAAGGACCGGTTCGGCAAAGGCAAGGCCTCGAACCAGAAGAAGGCCTCGCACAATGCCGGCATCGTCCGCAAGGACATGAACGGCGACACCTACGTCACGAACGCGCAGCAGGACGCCTCGTGGGTCAAGATGCGCAGTATCACCGAGCAGGCGGCGCTGGACGAGTTCCTGAGCACCGCCGAGCTGGCGGGCACCGACTTCACCGCCGAGAAGATGAACAACGTCAAGATCATCCACACCGACCAGAAGAACCCCTACCTGCTGTCCGCCTCCGAGGAGAAGTCCGCCATCACCAAGCACCGCCAGAACCGCGGCCGGCTGACCGTGCCGCGCCGCCCCCAGTGGGACGCCTCCACCACCCGCCAGCAGCTGGAGCAGCTGGAGAAGGAGAGCTTCCTGTCCTGGCGCCGCGGCCTGGCTGAGCTGCAGGAGAACCAGGACCTGCTGATGACCCCCTTCGAGCGCAACCTGGAGGTCTGGCGCCAGCTGTGGCGCGTCATCGAGCGCTCCGACCTCGTCGTGCAGATCGTCGACGCCCGCAACCCCCTGGCCTTCCGTTCGGAGGACCTCGAGGCCTACGTCAAGGAGCTCGACCCCCGCAAGCAGAATCTGTTGTTGGTGAACAAGGCCGATATGTTGACGGAGAAGCAGCGGGTCATGTGGGCGGACTACTTCGATCGCCATAATATCAGTTTCCGCTTCTTCTCGGCGCACTTGGCCAAGGAGCAGAACGAAGCCCGGCTCCTCGCGGAAGGGTCCGGGTCGGAGAGCGACAGCGAATCTGATGAGGAGGAGCAGCAGCAGCAGCAGCAGGAGCAGGACTTGGCGAAGAACACCCAGGCCATGAACATTCAGGACGGCGAAGCGCAGCGGGAAGAACACGACGGCGGATTGGAGCTGCCTTCTGCCACCAGCAAGCGAACGGAGATCCTCAACGTGGACGAGCTAGAGGAGCTCTTCTTGTCCAACACCCCCGACACCCTCCCCGACAACAACACGGCCGACGGCGAGCCCATCAAGCGCAAGACGACCATCGGTCTGGTCGGATACCCCAACGTGGGTAAGTCCAGCACGATCAACGCGCTCCTGGGCGCCAAGAAGGTGTCCGTGTCGGCCACCCCCGGTAAGACCAAGCACTTCCAGACGCTGTACCTGTCGCCGGAGATCATGCTCTGCGATTGTCCCGGTCTGGTGTTCCCCAACTTCGCGACGACCAAGGCCGACCTCGTGGTCAACGGCGTGCTCCCGATCGACCAGCAGCGCGAGTTCACGGGGCCGGCCTCGCTCGTCGCCCAGCGCATCCCCAAGCACTTCCTCGAGAATGTCTACGGCGTCAAGATCCTCATGCGCTCCGTCGAGGAAGGCGGCACGGGCACTCCGACCGGCAGCGAGGTGCTGCGCGCCTACGCCCGCGCCCGCGGCTTCTCCACGCAGGGACTGGGCCAGCCCGACGAGTCGCGCGCCGCCCGCTACGTGCTGAAGGACTACGTCAACGGCAAGCTGCTCTTCTGCCACCCGCCCCCCGTCGACGACGGCAGCTCCATCGACCCCGCCGAGTTCAACAAGGAGCTCTACGACCTGGCCCACCTCCCCGAGCGCCGGCAGGCCCAGCTCGCCAAGATGATGGCCGCCGACCCCCTGGGCGCCCACGTCGACCCGGAGACCCTCTCCCTCCTCGGCGTGACTGGCGCCACCAAGCAGCCCGTCCAGGGCTCCCTCGCCCGCAACCTGGACAGCGGCTTCTTCGGCCCCGGCGCCGCCTCCTCGCGCGGCCAGATGATGCTCCCCTTCAACTCGCAGTACACCGAGCAGGGCCAGCAGATGCGCAAGCAGCTGACCGGCCGCAAGGAGCGCATGATGGTCGCCCTGGAGCGCGGCATGGATGTCTCCGAGGTCCGCAGCGGCAACTCGAAGAAACACTTCAAGGCCAACAAGAAGCGGGCCAAGAAGGTGCGCAAGAACGGCTCCACCGAAGATGAGTATTAGTGGTGCCCTTGGCTTCTTCTCTTTTTGTTCTGTTTCGGGTTGACTCGCGGGCGAGTGCGGACGTGATGATGATTTTGTGTGAGGTTGGTATTGGATTGGATGAATCATGAAATGAACACAAAAAAGCTGTGGGTTCTTTCTTAATTTCTTATATCCCGGTATAAACTACCTCTGCTTTTTGTCTTTCCTTGATGGTAATATGTTATCATGGTATATGGGTTTTTTTTTTTTTTTTTTCTTTCTAAACTTTGTGCATGGGAAATGGGGGCTATGAAATATGACATACATTGCCGATCTTCCTCAAGCCCATTGGGCTTCAACTAGTATCACTGCCAAGTGTATTGACCTACTTCATTCGGCTAAAGTATCTAATGCGTAGAGAGAAAACAAGCATGCAAACCCTGATTACAACCGACCCTTGATCTTCAACCCCGTCTGGCTCAACAACCTCTCGCCCTCGGCCCGCTGCCACTCCAACTTCTGGCGGATCTCCGCCTTGCGGTCCCGGTTCTCCCGCTTCCCGAGCTGCTGCAGATGCACCTCATCGGGCCCGTCGGCGATGCGCAGCGTGCGAATCAGCGCCCACATGTACGCCAGGGGCGTGTCCTGGCAGACGCCGGCCGCCCCATAAGCCTGGACGGCGCGGTCGATGACGGTGAGGGCGGTCTGGGGGACGAGGACCTTGGCCTGGGCGATCTCGCGGAGGGCGGACTTGGCGTCACCCTGGTCGATCTTGATGGCGGCGTTGAGGACGACGAGGCGGGCGGCGTCGATCTCGACGCGCGAGCGGGCCACCCACTCGAGGATGACGCCGTGGCTGGCCAGGGGCTTCCCGAAGGTCTGCTTGCGGTCGTCGTTGATGCGCGCGATCAGCCACTCCAGCGCCTTCTCGGCGGCGCCGATCGTCCGCATCGCGTGGTGGATGCGGCCCGGCCCCAGCCGGCCCTGGATGATCTCGAACCCCCGGCCCTCGCCCAGCACCAGGTTGCTGGCGGGCACCCGCACGTTCGCGAAACTGATGTGTCCGTGGCCGTGCGGCGCGTCGTCGTACCCGTACACCGTCAGCATCCGGTGCACCGTGATCCCCGGGGTGTGGGCCGGCACCAGGATCACGGATTGCTGCTGGTACGGGTCGGGGTGGTCGGGCGCCGATTTGCCCATTACCAGGTAGATGGCGCAGCGGGGGTCGCCGGCGCCGGAGGACCACCATTTCTTTGACCCGGTGGTGCCGTCAGTGGCTGTTCGTTGGGACGGACTCGAAGGGGAAAGTTAGCAACGTACCGATCCATTCAAGACATACTCATCGCCCTCCCGCCGGATATGCAACTGGATATTCGTGGCATCGCTCGACGCCACCTCCGGCTCGGTCATCAGGAACGCCGACCGAATCCGGCCTTCCAGCAGGGGCGTCAACCATTGCTGCTTCTGCGCCTCGTTGCCGTACTTGGCCAGGACCTCCATGTTGCCCGTGTCCGGGGCGGCATTGTTCGTGGCCTGGGTTTTTGTGGTTTGGGTTAGCTTGTCCTCAGCCCGCCCTGAATCACCAATTTTGGAGGAAACAGCACTCACCTCCGAAGCAATCAAACTCTTCCCCAAATACTCGGCCATAAGCCCATACTCCAGATTCGAGAAGCCGGCGCCCTGGGCGAAGTGGTTCTTGGGCAAGAACATGTTCCACAGGCCGAGCTGCCGGGCGCGGGCCTTCAGGGTCTCCATGACGGCCGGGTGGGTGGTCCATCGCTGCTCGCCCTGGCCCAGTTGGGCCTGGAAGACGGCTTCGGCGGGGATGCAGTCCTTCTCGACGAATTCTTCGACCTGTGGATTTTTGGTGGTTAGCACATCGGGATTCTGAGATAGGAGCGAGGGGGAAGTTGAGTTAGACTCAAGGGGATATACCAGGTCCAGGGTCTTCTTGGCGCGGTCGCTGACGAAGGGGAGGGCGATGGGGGGGATGCGGGCGGAGGCGGGCATGTTGATGGATGAAGTCTTCTCTGGGGTTCTTGGTTGAGTGGTTATCTGGTGGAGGGAAGGAGTACGGCACAAGGGAAAAGAGGAATGGGCTTGTAATTAAAAGAAAGGAAGCGTCTGGATCAGACGATGGCGTGGGATGAAATGAACTGTTGGAAATGCGGAGAGCGACAGAAAGCGGAGAAGATGCCGATCGGGACCTCGGCTGATTTGGGGTGGTGGTCGTACATACACTTCCTTCCTACTATCCCAGTCGTGGATGGATTATATCATAAAGACACATCGACAAGTAGCATCTCAGTAACCCCATTAATAATAAAAAAAATCATGATAATAAAGAATCCCCTCAGCTCCAAAGTCCCACCTAGTTGTGTCCCAGCCAGTAATCTCCCAAAATCCAACCTCGGTTGATTTTTCTCCCAGTTTGACCCTCCATAATGAAGTTTCATAAGCAATATAAAAACAGATTCATCCCAAGCATAACAAACAATCCCGAACGTGAGAAACCAAGTGTCTCGCAGCCATCCAGCAAAAAGACAACAAGGTCAGGAATTCGAGAAAGAAAGGAAAATCTCTTCTCCGGCGACCCGCGCGAGAGAAACGACAGAAAACAAACCACGGAGATGTCGTCTAACCCCATCAAGCAAATAAAAAAAAAAAAAAAAAAAACAATGAAAGTCGTCATCTCCTTAGGGTGGTAGTCTTTAGACAGCGCTCTCGGTATTCTCCTTCTCACGCTGGGCTTCGGCCGCCGCAGACTGTTCGAAGTTCTTCTTGCCCAGTTTGGCGAACAGGGATTGGGGCTTGCCGGCACTGGATGGACGGATTTTACTGTTAGTCTTGAGGTTCATCCCTCCCAGGAGAGCTGATGGATTTGGTAGCAGAGAGATGAGAGAAAACGTACTTCTTGAAGCGCTTGCCCTTCAGGTCGCTGAGCTTCTTCGAGCAAGGGCTCATGAGCTCGTCCGAGGGCGATACGTAGCTGGCTTGGTTACTGTACGCGTTCCCTCGTCAGTCAGAAGTCGGTGGTCCACCAGAAACAAGAAGACAAACAACCCGTAGGAGCTTGTGTAGTGTACATACCTTTCTCCGCTGGCCAGCTTGCCCTGCAGCTTCTGGCGGTGGTAGTCCATTGAGTTCATCGGCTTGCCGGTCTCCTCGGCAGTGCCCAAGTGCGTGTTGGTGGAGCGGTCGGTCAAGGGTTGAGCGTCCATGGTGGTGGTTGATGGTGGATGTGGATTATTGAGGAAGTGGGTTGGGAGAGTGCTTAGTTGTCTGATAAACGCGTTGTAGAGGGAGTTCTTCAGATGGTTGTGGTGAAGTGGAGGCAGAGAAAGGCAGAGAAGGCAGAGCGAGAGGCTCAAAAGGATAAGCAACGGCCGGCCAGCGGGAAAAAAAACCGTGTCGATTGTTGGCATGGCAACCACCACAATGAGATCATGCTCCAGCATTACTTCATTCAACATTCAGGTCAACCTTGATCGTCATCCCCTCTAAGCAAATTAGAATTAAATCCACGGTTCTATACGTGGTCTAGTCATCATCGTGTCGTATCCTGATATACATGTACAAATAGACAAACAACCTAATCCACGCCGGCCCAATAAACACACGGATCCAGACACACAAATAGACCGACAAAGGAGGGAGTTGACCTGGAAACACGCAGGGACAGACAATCAGAAATGCCGATAAGCTTCCGCGGCCACCTATCATATCCCTGCACTGCTGTTTGCCTGCCACTGTCCCACCCAGACCAAACATTCATCGCCCTGGCGAGTCATCGACGATTTCCACGGGAGACGCTTCGGATCCAGGGGTGGTGCTCCCCTCACGCGGGAGATCAGGCGGGCTGCTACGCGATCGCTGCACCGGTGGAGCCACCTCCGGCAATTCCAGGGTACTCCCTCTTTCCTGCTCCGGATCCTCATCTTCGGCCGAACTCAGTGCATCAGAAACGGGCGTAGGCGGCGAGTACGCCAGCGTTGGGCTGAGAAGCTCGTCCTGCGAGTCTTCGGACAGGTTGCGTCGATGGCCGCCGGTGCGTCGGCAGGAAGACGTCGCACGCGTTGACGTCGGGCTCACCAACGGAGAGCCGTACGGAGGGGACGGCGACGAGGACGAGCGCAGGCTGTACGACCGCGTGACCATGTTCTGCACGCGAGGAATCTCAATGTACCCACTCGCCGTGCCCCGCGCAAAGAGTACCAGGCCAAAGCAGAAGAGGATCATCATGCTCTGGATAACCGCCACGCGTTTCTGGAAGACCAGCTCGTCCGCCAGCACGCCCAGCTGCGAACTGAGCGAATGGATTTCTTGGTGATACTGAATGCGCTGATGCTCAAACTCCAACGCCACGCTCTTCCACACCTGGTCGTATTGCTCTCGAACCTGTTTCAGCTCATTTAACACTGTCACGTTCAAGCCCTCCAGGAATGTCGACGTCTTTGTCAGCTGCCGCTTCTCGACTTTATCGAAGGCGTCGCGCAGGATGCGCGATTGTTCTTCAATGTACTGAAGCGAGAGACTGGAGTTCGACTCCAGCATCTGGAGTCGTTTGTGCACTGACTTGAAAAAGGATTCTTGCGTAGTTGGGTTTGCCGACGGTGGCTGGGTCATACTCGACCTGGTCGGTTCCGCTATACTGCTGGGTTCATCCTTTGGCAGCAAAGTAGACTTGTTGTTTGCTTCCGTTACAGCGCTAAGGGATGCAGTCTCGGAGTTCACAGCAGTCACTGAGGACGACGATGAGTCCGTTGCAGTTGATCCCACTGCGCTTGTCACCTTTTGTTCTCCTGGTTCTCCGGACAAAGCTTCCTTGCCTTTGCCCGAAGCCACGGTCTCTTGCGCCTGGGATGGGGACGCTTCGTTCGAAACAGGTCGATTGGGCTGGGGCTGGGCTGCCACTTCAGGTCCAGCACCAGGAGCCGGTGCCTCCTGGTCGTCACAGGTATCGAGAAGCCCCAGAAGCTCGCGCAGCTCTGGCACATCCATGTCCGACCCGGACTGGCGGCAAGCCTCTTCCTCTGGGTCGCTGGTTGGCGCCGTGTCGACCGGCTCAGCAGTCGCCGGAGTAGGCGCTTCCTCACCCGTAGCCGTAGTCCCAGAGTCCGGGGCCATAGGAACCGGCACCGTTGATTCTTCAGATATCTCCTCCTCATCATCATCTGCGGGACCAGCCTCCCCATCATGCTTATATTCCTCCAGCATCGTTGTGCCATGAATCCGAATCAAGCTCAGCGGACAGAAGAACTCGTTCCCGTAGTGCGTAAGGAACTCAATCTTCACATATCGCGCCCAGATGAGCGGATTCTCGACCGCAAAGGCCTGCACCTCCCGCGTATTCCGGGCCTCATAGACCCCCAGCTCCCGCCACTGGTCCAACTTGGCGGGATATCGATCCGAGACGCTGACTCGGAACGTTTGGAATATGGAGCTGAAGAACTCGTAGTTGGCGAGCACGACGGTATCCACCAGAATGTCGTCGCACAGTTCCAGGATCAGGAATTTGTTCTTCGCCCGGCACTCATTCAGCATGTAGCTGTCCTTGTTCTCGATGAGCACCGACGACGACCCGCTGCACTCCGGGTTCGTCTTGAGCACCGTCGCCGCGCAGTCAAAGGACGCATAGTTGAACCGTTCTTTGCAGGTCGTGCCCGCGTCCTTCGATCGAGGCACCCCCGCCTGAGGCATGCCCTGAGCCGGTCCATCGGCGCCGGCCTCGTGCCCGGCCCCCGGTATCCGCTCGCCTCGCGCCTCAGTGGAGGGAGAGACTATCGCGGTCCACGCCGTAGGCCGCGTCGCCTCGGGCGTGGTGTCTGCGCCGAAGCCCCCAAAATCCAGCTCGATCTCTGCATCGTCGCCTAGCGAGTCCAGCGCATTGTTGATCCCCGTGGGTCGTCGCCGGTCCTCCTTGCCCTGAGCCACGCCACCACCACGGCGACTGCCACCCACGTTCTCCGCAGACTGTCCAACCTTGGCCAGATTCTGCTTTTTCCAGTCTTCGAAGGACAGGAACTTCGCATTGTCGAGCGGAGAATCCGTGTCGAGCTCCTGGTCGGACCGGTGCTGCTGCTGTTGCTCGTCCACCGAGGTGGGACTCGTCACCGCCTCATGGCTCGAAGCAGACGCTGACACGGTCACCGATGCGGCTTCTGCTGCCACCGAGGGCGTCTGGGATAGAATATAAGTCGCTGCATCGGCCTCGGAGCGCTGAAGTCCCCATCGTGTCTCAATACAGACAGGCCACTGGATCAGCTGGGCGCCGAGTTTCAGTGTATCGGGCGTGGGGCAGATCGATGGAGATTGATTGGCGGCGACCCCGTCAATCCAGGTTGAGATTAGAGTCATCCAGGGAATCCATTGTGTTGCCGTCCACCCGGCCATTTTTGGGGGACAAGTTTCCCTAACGCCCAAGGGGTTGGCAATGGATATGGATGTCTTGAGTTGAGATTTTTTTTTTGGTCTCGCAGCGCCGGGACGGGTGATTGTGCGGAGTTGTTAATCGTAGTAGCTTAGTGTCTCTCCGCAACTCAACTAGAAGAAGAAAAATGGGTTGACCGCCACACACGCGCGCGCATTGTCTGTGGAGTCCGACGGAGGAGATCACGTTTGTCTGTGATTCAGTGTACGGAGTAATTTAAGCGTCACTCTGGGTTGGGCGAAGGAAAGGAAATGCAAGGATACAACAAGCACCCTTTGTTGACCTTCCCCAGCCTCTTGTCTCTTGCTCTCCGTGTCCTGTCAGAGAAACACTCCGGCCGGCAAATGACACGTTCTGCCAGGAGGAAAGTCAAGCTTGTCACACAAGTGAAAGAGGGGACTCCGTAGTGGAGACGACGATCGGGACCGACTGCTCAACTGGGCTTACCGTCAGTCCACTCCGTCACTGGAGGAGCAGAAGAAGAAGAAAAGGAAGAAGAATAACCTTGGAGGCCAGACTGGCCTAGACTGTGGATGCGTCAATAACACCGGACTCGTAGACAATGATTCGATCGTCATCGCCCACCTGTTTTGATCTTCTCCGCTTTGCCCACCGCCTGCTACTTCAGGGAGCTCGGGAGTGGCCACCCCGCCGTGCCCTGAGGGGGTCCCTGAGCATGAGTAGTGAGTTCCGTCGACGCCTGGGAAGGGCAATGATATGTACTCTGCTGATTTGGTTTATCGCGGGCATGATTAGGCCATCCAGTTTGGATGTATCCATGACGTCTCAACTTTGATCTAATGCGTACCATTTTCGTAGAATATGTCAGCAGCTCGAGTGCGTTGAATACGGACGGCATTTCTGATGAATCTACTGGCCTAAAGAGGAAAGTCTAATGCCTTTAAGGTTCATAAAGTTGGCGAGGAAGGAAGATAGCGATATAAACTTGCGGTGTTTACATACTCGCAGTTCTGTTTGCATAGCACGTGACCCGATCTTTTCAGGCTTTCCCCACGCCGATGGAAAGTATACAAACAGAAGAACTACATGTGCTGCGCGGGGTCACTACGATATTTCTAACTTGACAATTGTATATCTACATGATGTTGAGAGGGAAAATGTCATAGAATACTAGAATCACTTTTGATTCCTGTCTCATTGTTGCTTGTCACACCGCCTCATCACCACTACCTACTCAACTGTCCCGGCTAATTACATGTAGTGCACAGATGTCCCGGTCCAGTCCAACAGCCTGTTCCAGGGAAAATAGAGACGACCAAAGAAAGTACGGATGAAAGAACGACCGTTCGTCTTGTTTCATTGATTTTTCATGTGTAAGAACCGAGTGAGGGAATAGCGCCACGGCCTGCTGCACGCCATCGTCGTCCTGCGTCGTCGTCCAACGAACCCCCCAAGCATTGGACCTTTTTAAATTTTTTTTCTGAAAAGGGAAAAGGAAACATGGGATTTTCACAAGGGGAGAGGAAAGAAGAGTGAATAAAAACAACTCAAACACTCCAGTAAGAGGACAATCCCTCCAGTTATCAGTTGATGAGTCACTTTTGACCTGCTTGTCACCGCCACTGCTGACTCCGTCGAATAGCGTCATATTATACAGAATAGGAAACAGAAACACTGACAGATAGATGGGCACGGAGACCACATACATTCTATAGGGTAAGAAGAGTGAAGAGAATATAGGTTTTGAGTGTGAATATAAGGTCGCCAGGCGCCAGGTGCTGGCCTTGGCGACCGCATGGAGAAATGCATCGGAGTAAGAGTGGAAAAGGACGAAAGCGGAAAACAAGTCGGAGTATTGGTTGAAATGTTTATTTATTATTGTGTTGCTCTTCTCAGCGACAGTGGACGGTACAATAGAATGGAGAGGAACGTCGGACGCCGGCACCAGAGGTGGGGCTAAGCTCCTTACAGATGAAGGTCGTGCCAGCCTCCGACAAGATCGAGATCTTCGTCGACGCTGCCATCGTAGTGGTTCGCGGCCTTGGTATGGGCGGCTTTAGGAGACTCCCAGGCGTCGCGACGCCGCCCCTTCTCCTGGAAGGGACGACGCCGCCGCTCCCGATCCGGAGGAGAGAACGTCTCTTTCTTGGCCCATGAACCATAGTCAAAGCCAGAGGAACCTAAGCCCCAATCCTTCCTCCAACTCATATTGCTTGAAAACTTCTTTCCGGAAGAGGTCTCTGGGGACTTGAAGTTCCTCCGACGATCACCAAGGGCCGACCATTTGTCGACGCTTGACTTTTGCGGGGAGCTGTCGGGGGACTGAGGTGGGGTTTTGATAGCGGTGATTCCCGCCCTCGGATCCCACGACTTGGAAACAAACTTCTCGGAGTCTTCGTGAGGAGTCTCCATCTGTTGGGCGCGGACGTTGAGTAGGGAATTGCTAACGACTTCGTGCAGGCCAGTGAGGGATCCACGGAGCTCAGGCGTGCTGCTTTCATGACTCCAGCTTCGTGAGTTCTGCTCGCGACGCTGCTGGTAAGCCACGTCCTCAGCTTCAGATTCCTCCTCCTCATCCCAAAGATCGCTCCAGCTCTTGGAGATCTGCTCCTCCTTCTTCTTGCCGAAGACCATGGAAAGAGAAGGCAGGGGCTTGGTAGCATTGCTTGGCAAAGAGCCGGTGATAGGAACGGGATCGGAGGGAGGTGGGAATCGAACCTCGTTCTTGCGGAACGGAGGAGACCGGAAAGATTCGCCCATAGCGGACTCCAGAACGGAAGCCATTGATGGGGTCCCCTGGTGGACAGAGAACCACGATGTGCCAGCAATCTCCGAGGGAGGGAAAAGGTCTTCGGTGTAGCTCTCGTTGTCGGGAATGGCGGAGAGTTGGCGGAAGGTCTGGGGAGGGCTGGCTTGGAGAGCTTTGGCCCAAGGGAAGGAGTCGCCCTGGTTGATGTGAGGGCTCTGGATGGAAGGGGTCCGAAGCGGCTCCCGGTTGGCACTGGCGGCAACCACCTCGCGGTCGTCCGTGCAGAACTCATCCAGCGCGTCATCATCTGTGGTGAACGTGACGGCACGCAAGATAGCTTCGCGAATGCCAGAAAGGGAACGCTTCGTGGGGTCAATGGCAAGAGCAGTCCTCAGGATTTCGAAGGTATCCTGAGACATGTTGGGGAAGATGTCAAACAACGATTGGCGGTCCCGAACGTAATCCGCGTAGAGGATGTCGGATTCTGTCGGCGTGGCGAAGGGATTCCGTGCGAACAGAACATTGAGCAGACAGATTCCAATCGCCCAAATGTCGGCTTTGGCGGGGGAATAGCCGACGGTGGAGGGATCGTACTGCTCGGGAGCCATGTAACGATCACTGCCAACGCAGGCCTCGTGGGACCACGCCTCCCGAGTCGCCAGACCGAAGTCACCCAGCTTCATGGAGCCATCCTGCATCAAGAAGATATTCTCAGGCTTGATGTCGCGATGGTACAAGCCGTTCGCGTGCATGAACTCAACCGCGCTCACAAGTTGCAACATGAAGTCGCGCACGTGTTCGGTTTCCAAGGGACCACGGTTGAGCCGGATTGCTTCGTACAGGTCACCATTCGAGCAATACTCCAAAACGAGATACATGTGGGCATCCGTCTCGAAGGAATGAATGAGGTTGACGATGTTGGGATGAAACCTGAGACGTCTGTGGCATTCCAGCTCCTCGGCGCGGGCATCATATGGGGAGGGGTTCAACGGGTCACCCGAGGAGGACTTGGTCATGCACTTGATGGCGACATCTTCACCAGTCTTCAAATCCTTTGCCAGGAAGACCATGCCAAAAGATCCATGGTTCAAGGGGGCGACGGTGCGGAACCGTCCGTCCAACAGCTGGCCTTCAACAAAATTGTTCTTGAGGCACTCCATTGTTATGTGTATACTCTAACAGGACGATGTTCTCCCAGAGATGGTCGTCGAGGTAGAATATAGGAACAGGCTCACTTGATCAGAGCGTGTTTGAGTGGTCGGTTGGCAAGGCTCGAGTTAAAATTGAACTCGAACGATGTGGCTAACAATGAAGTTCAAAGACTATGCCAGCTCAAGTTTCCAAGTAGATCTTGGCCACCCAGATCCAAAAGAGAAGAGTCGGAAGGTGAGAGAGGGGAATAGGAAGCGGAGAAGAACGAAACGACAAAAGGAACAAATGAGTTGTCGGCTCAGAATTTATCGTAAAAATATCGGAAAGTCAAAAGAGGATATGGTGACAAAAGTGAACAAAAAAAGTGGTGAGAATGAGTAGGCGCAAGGCGCAATGCAGAGATACCCGGGGGGGGTTTCGAACGACGATAGGAAATGATTTGTTTAAAGACTGTTATGAGTGCATCGGTATATCGTTTTCACAAATAGGGGCCCACGGCCAAAGGCGAAGATAAGTATGTTGCGAGGAAAGAATGTGATTGAAGTGAATGGCGATGTCCGGCGGTAGGACAGTTGGTCAACAGGGAAACGACGAGGAAGAACGCTGCGTAGATATCGTAAACACCAAGAGTATAAACAGACAAGGCTCGTAACAAAGAAAGGCCTTCCAACACCAGGCTGAAGGTCGGGGAAGAAAAGGTCGTGACTCGAAGGAGAGGGAGCGGTCGACGACTATCGAGTCATAGAATGACCGATAGATTATATAGTTCTGATGGTTGAGTAGGAAACTATATAGAGAGACCGAGGCTTTGGACAACTGGTAGGTCAGGTCTTCTGTCCCGTGAGTGGGCGAGCTGAAGAACCGAATACCAGCACCCGGCCAAGGTTGCGCGGCGAACGGATGGACAACAAAGCAGTGTTGACCTCAGAGCGGAGCGGCACCCTCACACGTATTATCTGCAATTGAAACGTAGCAAGGCTTCAAAGGACAGTCTGCAGGAAGGTAGGCGAAACGTGGGTCCGAGGAAGCTCTCGACGTGGTTGGCTTGGGAGCAAGGATGAGTCACGGGGGTAGGTGTTGGGAAGGCCAGGCAAAAGACGAGACAGCCGAGGAAAAGAGGTTCGATCAAGCTGTTGGCGACGAAACCAGTGCGGGTTCTGATGTAGAGCAGGTGAAGATCACGACGTTGGTCTAATCAGACGATGAACTTGTCAAAGCAATGTATCGTGTCGCAACGATGATGAGCGAAGAGGAGCAGATGAAAGAAGAGCTAGTGGGAGGCGATAGCTTGTAGGTGGCGAGTAGTTGGGAGTCGGTAGTCGGCAGTAGATAGGGAGAATCGGGTAGGAAGGAGCAATGGAGTTGAGGGGTGAGGAAGGTAGTCGGATGAGGTTGTAGATGAGGTCGAAGGTAGGAGGAGCGAAGCGAAGCGTAGTGAAGAGGGAGGTAGCGGAAGGTGAGGGGAAGGAAGAAGGAAGAAGGTGAAGGTAGAAGGTAGAATAGGATGAGGAGGAAGAGAAGATGAGACTGGAATGCAGATGGGGGAGATGATGACTAGGTAAGTACGGAGAGGAAGAGGTATGACTGATTGACCCGAGTAGTTGAGAGGTGAGTGACTAACCCGACTAATTGGGGGGTGGGCGGGCGATAGGGATAAGGGGAGGTTCCGGATGAGATGATAGCACTTTAGGACACCACTAAACCGTATTAGGGATTAGTAGGAGGGGCGAAAGTCCAGAGTCAATAATAATAATAATGAATGGAGGTTGAACCCAGTTGTGCCTCCCAAGTCTCAACTGTGGCCTGCATGAGGGGAGAGGGAGAGGGAAAGTGGAAACTGGGCGAACGAGCGAGAACCTCCTACGTCGTTGTCGTGCCTTGGGTATGGTATGGAACCTAACCACAGTACCGATGGGTGGCTCGGCCAGCCAATAATGGGCACTCTCCATACCATACCAATACGTGACTGCCTGCCCGCCTGCACAAAGCACTGCAACCCGAGTTGTTGAAGTTTAGGCAAGGTAGTACCTCGTGGTAAAAACCGGTAATCATCTGCCGAGGCTACCCAATCTCACCTGAACATCCGTCTCCACTCCACCATCTTTACTGGTACGTACATGAGCAGCATACTTACTTACATACAGTACTGTGTACATACGTACATACGGAACAGTCTCTCTCTCTCTCTCTCTCCCTCAGATGGATGCAGATGCAGGTCAAGAAACTGAAGCCCGTTTCCGGCGAGAGGAAGCTCCACTTCCACCACTTCCCCCTGATTAATCCGTCATTCTAATCTACGTACGTACTCTTTACTATGTCTCCGGCCCTGGCAGTCACCAAAAACATCCGCCCGGCTCACTCCGTACTCTGTACGTTCAGTAAAATCATGACTGGCAACGGTTGAATGATGAATCAGCAAGCTCCATTGCCGTCGTCATGATTCTTTTCTGTTGCTTACATGTACACCTACCCCCCCCCGGTGTGTATGGATAATCAATGGGGACCCTTAGGATTGCTGATGACCCCCCTGGTCGCAGTACTGTATCCCAAACCACTCCAATCCATGTTACAACACCACCACCACCAACAACAACAGCTCTAGCCTATCAGTAACCCCAAACCGACAAAAGAATGGATGGGCTGGATGAGCTAATCATGAATGAGCGATTGCGTGACTGAAGTGTATCTTACCAGAACCCGACAGTACGTTTTGAGTCCCGTCAAGTAAATCTAGCTAAAAAAAAAAAAAAAAACGGTCGGTTATGGTAAACAGCCTTGAATTGAGAACAAGTATGAGTATGAGTAATGAGTTTCAGCAGCGTTCCAGTCCGTGACCCTGCCTACCTGCCTATCATCACCCAGGCACTGACCACGCATTCTTTCCTTTTTTTTGAGTCCATCCACTCACAAAATCCATTTCCCACCCCCTGCCAGGTTGCCGGGCCGTCAAGCCTCCTTCCTCCCGCCCATTGAATGACTACACTACGCCAAAATATGGGGAATTGCGATGCGGGATCAATCGAGTTACACATACTGTATCAAAAGGGAGGAGTAAACAAATCAGTAGGGAATTTAGCTACAGTAAGTTACTGTATAACCCTGATAACCCCGTACATCTGTTCGGGGATTGCCGCGACAGCAGCACGATCCAGACCGAAAGTCAAAGACAATAAAAAGATGGAGCAGGAAGTTGGCCACCGCCCGCCGCCCGACCTCCTTCAACCCAAGGGACTTTTGGAGTCATGGCCCGTGGGCGGACAAGAGTGTAAAGATTCACCCACTTATCTGGCGTGATCAACAACTTAATGCTTCGAGGTAGTTAAGTCTAGCTCTAGTGAGTCAATTGAGTAGGCCCAAAGTCAATTGATACACTAGCAACAAGCTTTGAAGATATTCTACAAAGTACTGTACTGTAGTCGGTGAACTTCCATAGTACATACAGTAAATGTCGAGATAAGAATTCAATGAATGGGCACCAAGCCCGCACCGTCGCCATGACTAAGGTGAGGTTCCTGCAGGTCCAAGCAGGGTCTCGCGGTCGCGGGCCCCATCGTTATCGGGAGAAGAAGAATCCTTGATTATAATGATGATGATGATGATGATGATGATGAGTATGATAGACCGTCCCTCTTTCCCTGTCAGTATGTACAGTACGAAACCATGTTGGAGGATGGGAAGAAACTCCACGGTAGAATGCCTCCCGTGTCTGTCAATCCATTCACTTTCTGTCACATACTGTGTACATAATTGATGATGACAGGCAGCGCCATACCAGTCTGTGGTGATGGGCCTGCCTTACCCCCTCTCCCCTTCCCTTCCCCATATTTCGGACAGGTAATGCGTAACGCCATCCGTGATTTCGATGATCAAGCATCTCGTCACAAAACAGACCAGACCAGACCACAAGCAACAAGCAAGCCACTTACTCTTTGGAAATCCTCATCTCGACAAGTTCAGACGTCTCACAGACCAATTCGATCTAGATCGATCCACCTGGGATTTGTTACAGTCATAATCATAAAGGAACAAACACCGCTCCCGCTTCCGACCGGCAAATCGGCGACCGATAGAATGGAACCTGAAAAGATGACGATGTTTCCATTTTCAGATGGATGGGGGGAAATTGAATAAAATTAGATAGTTCCAGTTCCCTCGGCCGATGGCGGAGCTCTGGGTGGCAACTTGGACGACGACAGGCACCCTAGACTTGTTCCGGGGCATTTTGGTGGGTCACACCCATGACCATGACTGAACCTTCCAATCACCGATCGCCGGAGTCACACTATTCCCAGGCTGCATGACGCCAGCCCCGAGGAAGTAACAAGTGGGCGGCGTCGTGGCCACTGGGCCAATAATTGCCCCATCGCTTGGCCCCCCCGAGTCAACGCAAGTTGGAGGGGGGGGAAGGAGCGGCGGAACGCAAATGACGCCCCGGGGGAGGGCCTGGACGATCATCGACGATCGGGTCACGGATGTATGGGGAAAGCGACCGATGGCATAATTTCGAGAAGCCATTGACTTGATGTTTTCACGCTTAACTATGACTTTGGGACTAACAAAGTTAGTCACCACTTAAATTCTGCTCAGACTTCAGTAATGTGCCAAGTGTCCACGAGGAAAAGAGATAGAGGGAGGGTCATGTGTGTATGTCCATAGAACATAGAGTACCTGACGGTCCTGACCTGAATTTACTTGGGACAAGGCAGGGCAGGCAAAGACCACGTACAGTACACAACAACGGTATGTACAGTACAGTAACTATAGGTGGAGGTCCTGGGGAAAAATAATCAACGTTGTGTTGTTGCACAACTTGCTCCTGATCCACGTTGATCCTGTTTGTTTACCGCGCGGGATTTTAGATGTGTCTGACTTGTTGCCTATCTCTACTATATGTAGAGAAAGTATTTCTTTTATTATCCGTCGGTTCTTGTTACAGACTTTTGCGGGGATGTCTGAGGATGATTACGTCTCCCAATGCGCATATGCAGGTGGATGAAAACAACAACAACAACAACAACAACAACAACATCCAGACAATGCATTCGTGCTCGACCTGCCGCTGTTGACGCTCGGAGACATAATTCCCCAGAGCCGACCAGTCAGTGTCCAAGACTCCCAAGTAGCTGTGGCAGCGCCCCGTGGCTGGCATGTTTCCGGGGCTGCATTGCATGTCTGTCTGTGTCTGGCGGTGAGCAGCCGGTGTCTTAGTGGCCGCTTGACCGCCTCCTGCTCGGTGTTGTTGGCTAAGGTTTGGTCCTTGCAGCCTGAACTTGATGCGTGTGTCTTGATCATGCAAGCAGAAAGAGAGGGAAGCGTCTACGTGGAAGCTTTCTGACTAAACGATGGGGGGGGGGGGGGGGAATCCCCCACAATTATCCGTAGTAGTCCAGATACTGATAGTGAGAGGGACTTTTTTTTTTGCCCGCCAGGTGGCTGATCCTCACGGGTATCACGCGATGCCCCGGCTGGGACCACACCACCTATCCCATTCCAACAACAACAACAATGACAATAACAACTTGAGTACGGAGTAGTTCTTTGTAGTGAGTTGGTGGCTGGCAGACTGACTGATCCTCCTCCCCGATGCTCTCTCTCGGATTCTCTTCGGTTCCGGCAAGTTATGATCGTTGCCTGTCTGCCCGCTATCGGATCCTCTCTCACAAGTCACCTGGCACTCCGCCCCTCCACCATAGAGTTTCTGGCGAGTGGCAGTGGTGTGGTCACCCATGGGACACGAAGCGGACACGATACACTTGCGGATCCCAGACTTGGTAGATAAACCGGGCTTGGGCTGAAGCAACAGAAGGTTGGGGTGAACCTTGGATGGGCTTATCAGTGATTAGTTACGGGGATCATCAGCCGAGCAGATAACCACAAATGAGGATTACCTGGTGAGAGAGACTGTGAAACGAATGGACGATAAGGTGATGATCTCGTTCTCGTCTGGGTCTGGCGATGGAGACAGATAGATACTACCTGGGTATACTCCCCGTTGTTGTCGTTGTGTCGATATTAAGTGATGACACAAACGATTCTGTTCTGTGCTCCCCGAAAGGAGACAGCAAGCCACTGAGGTCGGGAGAAAGATAGATAGTACTGATAGTACTGAGCAGGGCAGCATGGGCCACCAATTGGCTGGGTCATTAATTTGAGGAATAGAGTTCATTCCCGCTCCTCGTTGATTGATTGATAGACGGAGAGATAGGGGAGCTGACCGAATCCAGCTGCGTATCAGCATTGAAGTCGAACCACCACCATTCCACCCACTTGAACAATGTGCATGCCTACCTAATACTGTACATATTTCCGAGCCCCAGGCGAGCGGGATCGTACCTTTAGCCCCCGGATTGACCTCAAACGATCCATTTTTGAGGAAGAGCACGCGATCAATTAAGTGGGAACACCAACATGTAATGTAAGTTGGGTTAGTGTGCTGGACGGGGAGCCGAAATCGATAGCGGGAGTTGAATTGGTGGAATGGATTGGAAAACGACTTCCCCAAATCGTCTGCAACTTTTACCCCGCACGATCTGCGGTCCGGTTACAGGCCAGCAATATGCGGGTGTTGTTGATAGGTCGATTTTCCCCAAGCTGTTTCCACCCTGTGCCACTGGCTCACTGGGCACCCTCACCCTCACCCTCTCGCAAAGGTTCGTTCGTTTCCGTCAACAAGAAGGATTCCTTCCACTCTCCGTCTAGAAACCCGCAGCAACCAGAGATACGAGGATTTGCGTGATCGTGATCGTTCTACCGTTGCATTTCAGACCCGGGTGGCAACTTCCCCGGATTTCGCAATTCGAGTCGCATTTTTAGGTCCTGTCTCGACACTTTACAGTTTCAAGTCGGTGTAGGCTGGCAACAACATGATTAACCAAAGTTATACATGCTCAACTTCAGTCAAGTGTGATCAATTGACTACTGGAGATCATGGACTGAGATGTGACCCTCGACCCTCAATTCGTTTTTTTATTTTTGGGAGATTTGCTCGTCTCGATTTCACAATCTAGTAACCAAGTCCACCCGTACTTCGTATCCATACCCTTGACCCTCTCCCCCATGCATATCCCATTCTGCACCTCAACCACAGATATCCATCAGAAACCAAGGCACTCAGCCACTGCAGATACCGATGTACCAACTATGTCGTGTACGGTAGAGTATAACTATGTAGTGTACATACCCGGTGGCAACTGGTTCTACATAAGTATACTCTCTACCCGCATGCATGATATGTTATATGTAACATAGCAGCAGCATCGCCCTTGTCCCCCCCCCCCCTTCCCCCCCCCCCCCCCCTCCCCCCACCTCATCCCTAAGTCTAAATGTACGATGTAAGAACTGTAAAAGGCAACCAAGCCTGATGACGGAATCCCAATGCACCAGCGAAGGAAGGGAGAGAAATATGAAGAATCAGACGGATGAAGAAGACCCTTAAGGGGGGAAGTCCATCCCTTCGGCTTTTTAGCTAAGCAAGGCGGGATTGGGGAGACCCCAGTACAGTACTCCGTACTTCCAGCAAAGACAAACAGTTTAGTTCAATTCAGTCCAGGAGATGCAGTGGTGTGCATCAAATGTCTTAACCCATAAGGCTGCCTGCCTGTCTGTTTTGCAACTGACCGGTTCAATTGGCCAGGGGCGCGAGGGCACAATGGCAATAGCAGTGTCAAACGGGTTTGTCTTGGTTGATGTTGGCCTGATGCAGGATTCGGCCTGTTGTTTGATCTACAAACAAACTTCATCCATGCGCCATTGCATTGGATGAAAGGGCATCCATTTGATGCGAGTTTTGCTTTCCAATCCTCAGCTTGTCAGTGTTTGTTCTGGAGTTGACCCGGCATAGGTGGCAGCCACCATCCTCAGGCAGCAAGATTATCCGCCCGCTCTCCCCTCGAAACCAAACCCGATAGAGATCGAGTTCGATATCAATATCAATATCAATGGCTAAATATACATCAGCACACACAACCCATTCATTCGTACCACCCTAGCCAGAACCAACACCGAAAATCTAGCCCTTCTCCTTTCCCTTCCACCCCCCCATTCTATCTGAAACCCACAAACCGCCCAAACAAACTCCATCCTTGGGCCAAACCCTTTTCACCAAGCAAAATCCTCGAAATCAAGGGGGAGGAGGAATGAGACGCAAGTCCAGCGCTTCGATGCAGCCCCAACAACACCTGCACCTGCACATCTGGCCTGTTTTTGCTGCTGTGCGCAGGCCTTGCAAGCCACAACTCAGCCAGCACAGACCAACCGAAAGTACAAGCAAAGAACCTCACCCCTTTCGGAAATCAGCGTCTGCTTAGGTTGTCAGTCTGGCTCATTGTTGTCCTGTGCACGGACCCGAGGAATGGGAAAGCCCTGTCCTGTATGCTGTACTACAGAGTTCTCAATGTACTGTACCCACATCACTGGAGCTATGTAGGTAGTCACTCCGGCTAACGTATACACCTGGAGACCGGCAGTAACTTCTTCTCTATGGGATGGTTCAACCCAGAAAATATCTTCTGCTTCAAGACAAAGCTAGTAGACGACTTACAGTAGGTTAATTAGGATTGCTTTACACAGCTGTACTGTACGAACTGCGTGTAAGACTTCAATGCCCTCCATTCTTCTAATCTCACATCCCAGATCGCAGCACCCCAAAAACCTTGTCCAGCATTCCGATCTCACACATGCATATATCCTCACGTCAACGGGCTTTTGGCTTTATGTACTGCACGAGGTGTGAGGGGGAAGAAGAAGGGGGGCACACAAGGATAATCTAGTCCTATTCCTCATCTTTCTGTATACCTGCCTTGGAGGCATCCATCTTGGGAAGTTTGTGCGACAGAGGTATGCTCTTGGTGGGTTGTTGATGTGTGTGTGAGTGCAGTACATGCTGTGAGTTCACACCTGCTTGCGTCGTGAGGCTGTGAGTCGATCTCAGATCAGATGTGGGATTAGATCGTGGAGCTCTGCGGTTATGCTGCCCTGCGAGCTGCAGTGTATAGACTAAGATAACCTGATCGGTGGTCGGGCAAGGAGATCCCAGACTTTTGTTTCTGCATACAAGGGGGAAGGGCTATGGTCTTGAATCGGTTGGATGGCGCTATAATCATATAAGTGGAATAACGCCAGAGGATTGAGTGGACAGGAAGATAGGGTATGAAGCATTGGAAGATAGCTAACTCATTCCCGTAACAACCGCAGCGGGCCCAGCAGCCTAGTCCAGGATCCCAGGCACACAGTATATATATCCATCCAATTTATTGGGAGATAGAATCAAAGAACAATCGAGATAAATTGCTTCACGCTCATAATGCAGTGCTCCCATCATGCGCGCTCGTTACACAACACACTCAAGCCTAAATCATCAGATCTTACCCGACTCAATTCAACTACAGCGCCCAATCATCCACGCCCTCCGAGTTCTCAATGAAAGGCCGATCGATCTGCTTGATCGCATGGTCACCGCAGAGGATACTGACATTCTAGTTAGTGACATTTCTAAAGCCCCGGGGGCAAGAACATACCATGCTTCCGCGATCAATCCATCGAGCTCACGCACCACTTCCGCCCGACGCGCCGCACTGAGGGACCCTTTGCTGAGCTGCGCCTGCAAGTCCCGGATATACTTCTTCTTGCCCCCTGCGCCCTCGAGCACCTCCTTGCCCAAGCAGTCGCTGTGGAACGCGTGCTGGCAGGGAAACACGAAGAATTGCCGACTGAGCACGGGTAAAGAGCAGAGCCAGCACTTCTCTCCAGGCTCCACAATGGCGTAGCGCGTGTCAAGTGCCGCGATTTCCGTGCGAATCTGGCGGGCCGTGTGTGCCGAGTTGTCCATCTCCTGTCGGAGAGCGTCAATGTGCCGGGAGTATTCCTCGAGCGCACTGCAGATCTCGTCCTTGAAGTCGTCGATAACGACAAAGTCCGGGAAGAACGGAATGAGGTCTTCAATGCGAAGTAGCTCGCATCGGCGGAGGAATTCGATGGCATCCTTGATACCCTTCCCGGGCTGCCGGATTGTCTTCTCCGCGACAAGGAGCCAGAGCTTCTTTCGGAGCTTCTCGTTCCCTTCCGGACGGTCGGCCACAATCGCTGCGAGTTCAATATCGTCATGCTGTAAAGCCAGCTCCACAGCTTGAAGATATTGTCCCATGGCGCTGTAGATGTGAACGCATGATTGGACGCGCTGGTGTTGAATGCAGAGACGCAGAGCAAAGTCGGCATCATACGGTGGGGGCGAGGGTTGCTGTGACTGCAAATAGGTGAGGAGGCCTGCCTCAGACGTCGAGGCGCTGGACGCATGGATTGAGATCAGGGTGTTGTGGACGGCGGCGGAGGGGTTCGGGTGATTGACAATGATGAAGTTAAGGTATCGCACGGCCTGGTTCTGCCCCAATGGGACATTCACCGTCTTGTTGTAGTTGAGTAAAGCAGGTATCAGTCTCTCGGGCTCCAGGTTAGTCTGTCGCATCAAGATATCGACCAGTCCAGCAGCAGCGTGGGTCATAAGGACACTGCTGTATTTGTAAAACACGTCCGGGTCACTTTGTCGTTGCAAAACGTTGAGTGCCTCCGTCCATTTCTCCCGCAGAATCCAGTAGGAAAGAACATAATTGTAGTCGTTGGCCGCGGTGGCAAAGAAGAGTAGCTCCTCCTCACGACCGTGGCTGCTGATGATATCGTACGCCGTCTTCTTGTCAAGATCGGACCGGTACCGAGTGACAAAGTCCTGGAACTCAGCTCTGACAGTGCCAAGCTCATCCTTGACTTCTTCAGTGCTCGTACCCTCAGCAAGCTCTGCTCGGGTAGCGATGTTATCATCGAGGGAGTTTAACTTAGTCATGAAGACCTCAACCAGCCAGCTTGCGACCATGATGCGCTGCATGGAAGAGGACTTCTTGTACGTTGACAGCTGAGACAACAAATATTTGCGCAATGCATCATGCTCTCCACGGTTGATCAGCGTTAGGCAGACCTCTTCAAATCCTTTGCTGCTTCTTCCCCATACGGCGGCCGCCTCAAGATATCGGCCTTTCTCCGCAAGGAAGTCACCGGAAGCTGTAGAGACGGCGTCCTTCTGGGCACTGGTCCGGGCGTACTGCAGAGCTTGATCAAACATTTGTTTCTGCAGGTAGACCTTCCATACATCCCTATCCTCGTTCTCCACGGCAATTTCGCAGATCTCGCGGCTAGTGAACAGCCAGTAGGTATGTTGCGTCGCGTCCGTCAAAAGGCCCAAAGCACTTTGCCCTGGTTCCAAAACGGCTTCATCAAAAACGATCTCTTCACTCATTCGATTTACCGCGACAATTCGGCCTTCAACTAGGGCAAAGATGTGCCACTGGGACAATGTCACGGCGGTAATGGGATCC